GTAAAATGACTACATATAAGCCCTGTAACCAATAAAGTTTTAAACATAAAGATAATGAAAATAGTACATTTACAAGTTCAAAAAGAGAACGTTTTTCTTTTGCAGCTGAAGTTTCATGAAGAAGAAGGTCGCCTGCTAAAGTTATGATTTGTACACAATTTTTTATAGCAGTCAACATTCTGAAAAAATTTAGGGTAACGGATTACATACCACTTACAATAAAAATTTGAAATATGGTAGACAGAAACACTAACTTTTCTCCATAATCTGTCATAACATGCGACTTTGCAGTTCCAGTCACTCCATCATGATGCTGGAAAAGACTAGCATAACGTCTTGCTACCACAAGGGGACTGAATATTTCTCCGGACGAAGAAAATGCATTATCTTTAACTTTAGCGAGGCTGTAAAGGATTTCCGCCGACCTGCAAATCAGTAACATATCAGTGAATATTAAGGTGATCAACTTGATCTAGGGAAACTAACCGCAAAAAATGCTGTACTGTTCGGTCCATATGCTTATAAAATGGTCTGCTGGTGTAGTAACCTATAAACTTTAATGAATGAGTAACCAGTCGGGCCAAGAAGAACAGAAGCTGCTGTAAAAAAAACTACCGCTCCAATAATGATCATTCCTATCAGAATACGTAAAAAAGTCCCCAGTAAGCACTGGCAATCTGTCATTATCTTCTCGTAGTCGCTCTCTCATTAATTTAAAATACTCATTTGGTGTCCCGAAACGAGCCTAGAAAACCAGAAGCTTTCAAAAGAATATTTGACATTAAAAGGAAGTGAGGGTTGATTAAGAGAATTCGGTAGAGACGAAGCAGGAACATCCAACAGTCCAAAAACTTGCACCTACATGAACATTCCACTCAGTCTTTGCATTCATATAATCGAAGAGCTTCTTATAATTTGAATATTGTTGCTTCCACTCAAAATCTATATCGTAGCGAAAATCGTCCCCGAGTGGTACAAAAAGAACATTAGTTTTGAATAACTGTGCTTTCTTACGGTACTGATCATACAACATTTCTGCCCTAAAATTATAGACTAATGATAATGAAATGAGAAACAAATGAAAAAAAGCAGAGTAATCAGAAATACAGCAAAAAAAAAAAAAATAATAATAATAAACGCCTATATCAACCGTGCAGCGACATTTTCTTCACTAATGATAACAGGAGCCTCATTCCAAGGACAAGTAACTCCACCGCCTTGCAAACGGCGGAAGTCGAACTGACAACATATCTTTGGATCTGGGCCACAAGTATGAGGGACGTCATACGAAAAAAATGGCATCATATGGGTCAATAAATCATCCTCATTAGAGCCGCCACCTAATAAGGCATAAATAACAACTGTTGTAGTTACTTAATTGCACTTCTACCTGTTCCTGATTGAAAGCCACCAACTACACGTAAGAAAATTCCTAGCACTGTGTGCGTTAAGCCTATGGCTTCAAAAAAATCGCCCTAAGCTTCTTCACACTAATAATGGTTGAAACAACAGAATAAATCTCATCAAGACATAAATTTTTTAAAACTACCTGTAGTGGAAAAGAACAATAAAAACCTTACTAAACATCTGCCTCCACTTGAACTCTAACTTCTTTTCTTTTGCAAAATACTTCTTTACAGAATAGTGAACGCGCTGAACTACCGCGTTCGACAAATTGGCACGAGCGATTAAATACGGCAGTGTCGCACTCAGACCAAATGGGTCGATAGACCAATGGTTAACGGGTAAATATTCTAGAATATAAAAGTTAGTCACTGTTCTCTAAATTCATTATAGTAGTGACACCCTCCTAAAAACAGCTTCCTCCACTATAACCTAAGAAAGATAAATTTGTTCAAAATCACCCAGAATGATATAAATAAACAAACAAAACTGACAAGACGCTGATTTTTGAGGAAAAAGTCACCAACAACACGTAACATTTTTTGTTTACATGATCAAAAATGACAGTTTTAAAAACACTCTACTTAATGAAAAAACATAAAACATACTGACCCTCTCCAAGATGATTACGAATCCATTCGTGGCCTTCGATAAGCTGAGTAATCATCGAAAAATAATGAGCGTTAGCCTCATCGGTCATCACCCAACCACCAGTTAAAATCTCCAAACTGCCACTTTTTATTAACCTGAAAAATGAATCCTTACCAGATAATTGAACCAAATAGAGTTTCAAGATAAATTTCAACAGAAATTTTAGTCTTTACCCATATGCAACAAAAAAACAATGACTGTGACAAACTTTTTCACATTCTCGCGCGCCTCCTCATCGAGACCTGCCCACCACTGTTCAAAAAAGCTAATTTCGGCATAAACAAATCGCATGTCCTTAAACATGAGCAGATACGTTAGCATTGCATCCAAGATATTCTTAGTTTGATCATGATAATAAGCTTCGAATGTTTTGATCCATCCTGAGAAACTAATAAGTAACATAAGTAACAAAGAAAAAAGGTTTATGACGTTTTACTAAACTGTCACAGTAAAGCATTTAGGTGATAACGTAACTAGTTTTCTTATTCAAATAAAATAATAAAAACTGCTCTAAACCCTTCAAAAATGTAAGATGCGTAGGCAAAAAACTCAGAAGACTAGTTACAAAAATAAATCAATTGATTTAAAAAAACTCCCAACACTTAAAAACTCAAATACCAGGATCAGTGTGTGAATGTGGAGTCACAACAACCTCCAACTTCTTTTGTTTTGGAACTTCCCCCGTGTCATACGTTACGGGCCAACCTTGTTTCCAAACACCTCCGTCAGGGTCGTCAAAAGGCAGCAGCTCATAAACATTGAGCATCTTAAAAAATCATTTCTGTTTCGTAAAAAAAAGTGAATAAGTTAGCAGCTGATCACTAGCAAATGTTCGTAGAACCTAATTTGAAAAAAAATTAAAATTACAAACCAAAAAAAGTAGACCTTTACTGTAATTTAATATATGAAATTAAACAGCCTCATCACTTTAACTCTGCCGACTGTCAACCCGCAAAACAAGTTTTATTAGAAAACCAAGACCCCTATCCAAACATTTCTTAAAATTTAGTGCTTAAATAAAGAGAAAAATATGTACAAGATTCTAAATATTATCAAATCACCAGCTCAGTTCCTGAAAGAGTACAAAAAGAAGAACTGCAGTAGAATGTTTCGGTGCTAAGTTAAAAACAGATAATCTGTACTTGAACATCTTCCACTCTGGATGCAGATTTACGGCGGAAAGAGCATATCTCATCAGTATTCTTCAGTTCAACAGTAACACCGTTCCCACGAACACTCGGTCGAACCTATATTGAAAGCACACCAATCACAGACTTTTTAAAAGTAACTTACTAACTGTATTCATCGTGAAATAAAATTGATTAAAATAATGTCACTGCAGTCGTCATCTCAAACGCTTTTAAAATAAAATAATAATTTCAAAAAAAAAAAAAAATGTGTCCTGGCAGCATTCCTTAATTATCTTTTATCAGCTTAAAATTCATGAAATCCCCACATTTCTATCTGCCCGAGGTTTTCCGGCCCCTTCATTACTTTCCTGTGGCGGCAGTAAAACACCTTTTCGAGCTTGAATTTCTTCTCTAGCCTGTTCATTAGCCTTCTCAGCATTCTCTTCCTCTCTGATAATCTGAAAAACACTACATATACATCAACCAAAAAATGGTAGAGCGCAACCCCCCAACGACTGGAACGGTCCAAAAAATTACTTCTTACCAAAGCGCGTAAAAGAGGAAGAATAACAAAGAACACGTCATTGACTCATTTAAAGTTCAACGCCTCAAAAACTGATGACAAAGTACAATTCCTTTGAGTATAAATTGCTTGAATGACAGTTATACTTCAAATCTTACTTGGTTAGGTTTTTTCGGCAATTGAAGAACGCCAACTTCTTTTTGCTCAGGAACAATCGGATCTTAAAAGATCAAAGTCAGTAGAAACTAATAAACAAAAAGACTCTCCAAGAGTAACAAGTTTTTCTCAACCTTTCTCGTACGCTAGATCTTTTATTCGATTTTGCTGCTGCTTCAATTTTTCTTCCAACTGGACCATGGCAACATCATTGTCAGCTATATCATTTTCTAATTTTTTAAGTTTCTGATTCAGCCCATGAAGTGCAAACTGAAAAACTCTTCTTTCATTCTAAGAAAAAAACCCTACAGCAATCCACTTTCGAGGCTGTAAAATAAACACAAATATTATTTGCTATACAACTGCCGGCGAGAAAAGATTTAATTCATCTTATAATTAAAAAAATAAAATAAAATACTTCGAATCTTTAAGAAAAATGAATTAAATATCAATGAATTCACCTTTTCTCTTTCAACAAACGCCCGTTTGTTTTGATCCTTTGTGTCTATTGAATTATACAAACCGATACTAATGATAACAAACACAGTTACAGCTACAGCAAAAAAAATATTCCTCGTCCGCTGCCTTATCTGCATTTAACTGAAAGTACATAAAAAATAATACTGTCACTTTGAGAAAACCTCAATGAATCACTTGATGGTCCACTAGAACAGTAAATAAATATTTAAGTAATATCAAGCACAAGATGTAGGCAAAAAAATTAGGGAAACCAACAAGGAATATTTACCATCAAAAAAAGACGCCTCACGCACTGTTAGAAGAAGATATCAAAAAAATACCAAAGAAAAATTTAAATGAAATACTTTAAACGCTTCTTCTTAACTTGCAAGCACTAAAAGCCCCCTTACCAAATCAGAGCAACCCTAAGTTTGACACGATAAGTAGCACTTACGACACACTTGCATATACATAAAAAAATTCCATTCCTACTTTACAACTCTCATGAGAAATCCGGCTCCACCTTGAATAATTCTCAGCATCCAACAAATTGTTGCTACGCAGAAACCTCCAATTTCAAAAAGGAAAACTAGAATTTAATACGGGCGAAATCCATTCAACGAATAAATTGTTTTGCTTCAAAAACCAATAGGCCACTTCAAGTAGAAAAGTAAAAACCATGACGACGAGCAGAGAGAGAAACAGCAATAAATTTGAAGTAGAAAAAATTAACTGGAGGACCTAAAGTTTTCTTTGAAAAACTAAATTATAAATTCCAGACATATTTACATCAAAAAAATTTCCGTCACAATCTTCGTACTTCCATCTTTGTATATTTAAACATACTACTTTACCATAAAATAATTAAAGTAATCTGCCAGTGAAACTTAATGGTGAAAAGATAGAGATCTATGCAAAGAAATAAATTTATGATAAAAAGGCAAATCTAACAATCATGAAACAATTTGAAACCTATTTTACCATCAACAGCATTTACAGATATATGCAGTAAAGAATATAACTCGCAAAATAAACTATTCTCCATGTCAGACTTTAACCAAATAAATGTAACAGAAAAAAGCCGTTACAAATAAACCGGAAGGTTTTAAAGCATCTGTCATTTTGGCAAGGTATATATCCAACAAATAAACAAGATCCTACAGTACTGTCAAAAACCTAAATTATACCATATTAAGTAAAGTTTTTTAAAGATAAAAACACTTAGGGAGTAACTTTCCATCAAATAAATACATCGTCGCTATAAAGCTCCCCTCTCTTATTTCTCTTAAAGTAAACAAACTTCTTAAATTTGCCGGTCATAAATAGTACACTGTGCTTCCTGAAAATTAAATCTGAAAATATGTACCACTCTTCACCTTTTCTGCCTTCCTTTGAATGACCCGAAAATGAATAGACATTAAGAATAGTAAACTGCAGGACAGACTTAAGTCTTTCTCTAGAATAAGAAAATTTATTGCATACTGATCTATATTTAAAAAAAGCAAAAAACCATTCAAAATTCCATGCTATAGAGTACTTTAAATACTCAATAAAGTCAAAAAAATAAAAACTATCTAAAATTTTACTTTTCTTTCTCCCACTGTTTCCTTATCAAGGTTCATTTCTAAAAAAAAGCTAGCAAATTATGTAAACGACAAATCAGCAAAATCTTGATGCCTAAATAAGTAATACTTACTAAAAAGTGTATAAAAATACAGAGCCTAAACAAAATTGAGAAAATAGATTTTAAAAAAGAACTGAAAGAAAAACAGAAAATAGGAAATAACGAGAACTTTACAGCAGAAATAAAAAGATTTTAAAATCGAGAAGTAAAAGGGACAAAGCACAAGAAATGGTAATATTCGGTAAATACAACCAATAATTTACGTACAGTAAAACCTGCCAAAAAAAAAAAAATGAGGATTTTGCTAAATATTTGTATTTGCGAGTAAATAACAGACAAATGGGAGGCAACCAGAGAAAAAACAAAAACAACAATACAGTTGAAGCAAAGTTCAGAGGAATCAGAGCTCTAATGAAATAAAAAATGCAAAGTAGAAAAAAGTGATAATGAAAGGGGCTTTTCCAAATTCCTTTTGCAACATTTACTACTCTTATATTGTTATCAAAGATTGCCTAAAAATCTCAAACAGAAGAAAGTTCAAAAAACCTTACTGTTTCGTAAATTCCATGTAATTTATATTAAAAGAAAGTTGAACAATGCAAAATGTTCTTTACTTCCTTCAAAAGATTAGACTAAACACCCTACATTAATGTCCGCCATAACACATAACCCGCTGATGAATTGCAAACGGAGAGGTTAATGTGATTTGAGTGATAACACGTCAAGCTTTTCGACCACCAAATTTATGCAAATTTTCTACTCTTCCATCAAAGAGCCTTTCCTTCCCAGTTAACCAGAAGAAGTTTATGAAATAATGCCCATATTTTTTTTTTTTTTTTTTTTTT